GTTACTTTTATTGTGGAGTAACTCAGTTACTAACTCGGTTACTTTTTGGAAGAAGTAACTAGTAACTATAACTAATTACTTTTTCAAAGTAACATGCCCAACACTGGTTATATCAAGCTGGCACAAAAGATAATGGCGAGTCTTGAAGGGGCACATTAGAATGACAAAAACCATGATATATGTAACTTATGAAGTACTTATTGTGTTAGGTTTGCTTTAGGAAGGTTACCTTAAATAATGGCAAATCAAGGATTAACAGTCAGTTGTGTGGCATTTCCTTTTCAAGCGTTGAATAATATATATAATAAAGGAGAATTGTGGTTTTCATGAGACGATTGTTGAATAAAAAACATATATTAGTGTCTATCTCTTGAACCAGTGTGCCACAATAACAGTTCTATGCCTATAAGAGAACTTATATGGGAGTTATTCTAAATGGTAATTTTAATTTTTACAGAAGATGGTAGGAGGATTTAAGCTGCTGCTCTGTACATGTAGTAGGAACCTCCCATTTCAATCCCTGATTAAATGTTGGTGAGAATGCACCTCCACGGTATAAAAAACACACAGCTGTGAAAGCAGGAGGTTTTTGTATTAAGGAGCAGAGATATGCAGCACTGTGGTATCTAGCAGCACAGAAGTACATTGCACTACTTTTGATGTTGAGATCTTTAATTTTTAATTTGCAAATGTCATTTTTATTTGCATTTCCATTGATTTCCACATTCACATCTTTCTCTAGAGTTGCTTTCCCTGCATACATGTATCCCAGGAGCTGAAGGTCTCCGTTTGATTGCCTGTACCAGAGGATTTGGTTGTAGCTATCATCCTTATGTGAACAATGAATTTCGGCTTCATTGTCAGAAGGAGTTTTAACCATTTCAGATGGATCCTGCTGTACTTTGTCATTTTGAGAGGAAACTGTGGAAAAATTAAAAGACACTTTTAGAAATTTATGAAATGAGATGTCAATTAAGAAATTTGTAATAATGCAGTCATTAAGTTAAAGTGTAGAAACCTTGAAATTATAATAAATAATTTACCTGAAATCTGGAAATTGTTTAAACTTAAGCAAATCAAAAAGATGATCATTCTCTGTCGTCCAAACATTTAGTTAAATTAAACTTTCCCTACCAGATCCGAAACCATTCTGATTGTGCTGCATCCTTGCTCATCATAGTGGGGAGTGTCAAATGATCCTCCTCCTCCTCTTAAGGCACATTCCTCAGCTAGATCTTAAAGCATCAAATTTGAGCTCCTAGCTCCTGTTCCTACACCTTTCATGAAGTCAACAGTAAGAGCTCAGCTGGAAGAGAAAGTGTGGACGGCTGTGCTGAATGCTGACAGACTTTAACATCATTTTGCAACAGTAACTTACATAGATAATGCAGGTTAAAATTAGACTACAGACATCCGAAAAAAAAAAAAAAAAAAAA